TCGAGTTCGAAGTCCAGCCAGCCCTTGGCCTCCAAGCAGGAGAAGGACGGCACTGAGAAGCGAGGGCGGGGCAGGCCGAGAAAGCAGCCTCCGGTGAGTCCTGGGACCGCACTGGTAGGGAGTCAAGTGGGTGTCCAAATCTTGGCCTCGGTTAACCCTTTGGGCGCGGGAGGTCCCAGGCATCTTGGCAGGCGAAAGCAGGAACGGGCGGTGCAGAATCACTCCCGTCTGCTGTCCGACCCTCCTGAGACCCCAGCAGACGTGGGGACCAAGCCTCAGTGTCCCTCTGCTCACGCAGGTGCGTCTGCACTGTGGGGGCCACCTGCTCTAGACCCCTGCGTTTATAGAACAGTAACGGTGAACTCCGCCAACATGAAGGAAGAGGAGCCTAGGGTTTTTAAGCATGAGATCCACCTCACGTCTTGCTGTTGATTTGCTGCTGAGAGAGTTTTGGGTCCTTCCTGACAGTTTCTGCACTTCCTCATCTCAGCCAGTAACCGGGGCAGGGCCGCACTGCCAGCGACCTGGCGAGGCTTCAGCCTGGCTCTGTACAAGGAGATGGAAGCCCAAGAAGTTGGAAATGGTGGGGGTTGGTTGGTAGAGTGAACCCGGGCCTGTCCTCCTCCTGGGTTAGAAGGCCAGCCTTGCCCTGTGGGGCACCCCGGGAGGCATGGCCAGCGGGTGAGGTCCAGGTCCAGGCTTCCCCTTCCTGGGGAAGAGGAGAGGAGACCGGGGTCAGTCCTTCACACACAGGCCCCAGCTTCCTGGCAGTGAGGTGGAGAGAGTGGTATATCTTGACTGGGAGCCATGTGCCATGTGCCATGAGCCATGAGCCAGGAGGAGTCTGGGTGGTGGCATTCAGCTGCCTCTTCAGAGCCTAGTGTGCAGGGGACTCACCCTTGTAGTCTGCTTCCCTGGGCCTCCCCACCGCCTGTTATTGGGGTGGGGTCGGGGGTCAGAAAGGGGTGTTGGGTTACTGGACCATGGTTAGAAGCCACCCACGGGGAACCGTAGCTGCTTGCCTCTGCTGCCTGGCTTCTATGCATTATGCAGCAGCTTTTTATTCCATCTCGGGCTTATTAAAATTTTAGCGGCAACAATGGCAGGGATCTCTGGGGTTTCTTCTCCCTGGGAGGCACCCTGGAGGGGGCCAGTTTACAGTAGAGCCTGGGGGCTCCCTCCAAGGGAGACATCCTTTCTGCTCTTCTGCCTCCCAGAAGCGCCGGCATGCAGTACCTGAGAGGGCGGGCAGTGCCTGGCTCAGGGCGAGACATCCTTCATTTAATTTTGATGGTAACCCTTTACAAAGGAGGAAAGCGGGGCTCGGGCATTAAGGGTCTTCCCCGAGATCTTGGGGATTAGTCGGTGGCAGAGCTGGGACAGGGGCAGAGCTGCCTGTCTGTCGGCCCCCAGGACACCTTTCCCAGGGTCTTGTCACAGGGAAGCAAGGGCCTTTGCAAAAGGTGGTCAAACAGCTGAATCCCAACCACTTGTCCCGCCATTATGGGTTCTTGGCCGAGGTGATGGCTCGCAGACTTAAATCCGGTTGGGGTGGGGCAGAGCCCTCCGTCATCTGAAAGGGGTGGGACAGGTGGCATCTGTGTCTAACTGCCTCTGTCTTTGCAGAAGGAGCCCAGCGAAGTGCCAACACCTAAGAGACCTCGGGGCAGACCAAAGGGGAGCAAAAACAAGGGCGCTGCCAAGACCCGGGTGAGGCTTGGGGGGCGGTGTGGCCTCCTAGTGCACGAAGAGGGAGGCGTGGGGGAGGGCTGGCTCATCCCGAGTCTGCCCCTCTGCCTGGGCTATGGTGGTGGGCAGTGGGTCTGTGCTAATGGGGAAAGCAGGGTGATGACTGAGGTCTCACTCTGCCTTGGGCCTGCCCGGGACAATGGGGAAATCAAGTCAGAAGTCCGACAGCATTCCTGGCCTGGAGAAAGGAGAGTTGGGCACAGTGAAGGGGCAGCGCCACCAGCCCCTGGGCTGAAATGTCACTTCTACCCTGGGGTCCCCTGGATCTGGGGGTGAGGGGCAGGGAAGGCCAGCTTCCCAGTGGCATCAAGCTTTCAGAGAAGTTGTTTTGTTTTTTATTTTATTTTTTCTAAGACACGACTCATATCCTCTGAGTCATGGGAGGAGGAGGGAGTGGGGGGCGTGTGTGTATATTGAGGGGGGCAATGTGGCGGCCAGTCATCACCAGCTGGACCAGCTGGGGTGGCCTGTGGTTGGGGTGAGATTCCTGGGCTTCCCTGAGCAGAGGAGGGCAGCTCTGTCCTCTGCTTCCCACCGTTACTGGGTGAGCACTGTCGGGGACGTTTTTGACTTAGTGGGTTTTTTCTCTGCCATCTAGAAAACCACCACGACTCCAGGGAGGAAACCAAGGGGCAGACCCAAAAAACTGGTAGGTGAAGGGGGTACGGGCTTTGCCCCCTGGGTGGGGTGCTGAGAAGTGGGTGAGGCCTACCTGATCTTGTGCACCCACCATGGAAAAACGGCTCTCCCCGACCTGCTGGGCCAGGGGTGGTGGCTGCCACACTTGGCCCAGGCCCAGCTCCTGGCACCTCGTTTAAAGGGCTATGTGTCCATGAGAAGTGCAGGGTCCCAGGTACAGAACAGACCCTTGCCCTGCACTAGTGGAGGCTGTCTCTGCTTCTAGGGGGGGATCTTGGAGGTCCTCTAAACTGCCCCCCATTATAGAAATGAGGAAAGGCCTTCACAGGGGGAAGGAGTGAGGTGTGCCTTTGCCCTGATCCTGGGGAGGGAGGAAGCAGCAGCAAAGAGCTCAGCGCTGGGAGGGGTCAGTGCTGGGAGGGAGCTGAGGTGTGATCCCACCTGGAGGCACCTTTCATTTCTGGGCCCCCAGATAGCTGGTGGTGGAAGTAGGTTTGCCTAATCAGGAGACTGCCTCTAGGGGGCTCCCCTGAGTTAGCCTCCCAGCCTTCCTGTTCCCAGCCCTTCCCTATCCCCAGTCTGCTCCCTGAACTCCCTGAGGCATTCATTCCTCGAGCTGAGCCACTACCACCAGGGCTGGGGGGCCGGGGGGCGGGGGGGTGCTGGCTGGGCCCCAGGAGTGAGTAACAGGAAACAAGTTGTTTTGGAGTTTGTGCCTGGCACGGGGGCCGCAGCCCGTGGTGTCCCGACATTCCCGCCCCGTGAGTGAGCCCCTGCGCCACACACTTCCCCTTCCTCCCCACCCTGGCCTGGGGTCAGCCTGCGGCTGCGGCCACTGCCCCGTGCGCCAAGACCACCTGGTTCCCCTGCACCCTCCACCACCCCTACCCGTTTCCTCTCCCTGGCTGCTGCCTCCCTCCCCGAGCCAGTCACTCCTCACTTCCTTCAGCTTCAGTGCTGCTCTTCTGGGTTCTGCCCAGTCCCCCACCGTGGGCCCCCGGGCAAGGGAGGATGGCTCTGAGAGAGCAGCATGTGTGGTTTTTTTCCCTCCTTTTAAATTCTTCCTTTTTTATGAATGAAACTGGGCTGTGGAGGTTGCTGAGTCACCCACACACTCAACCCTGACTCATTCCCCTTCTGGAGAGCCAGGGAGGGGGTGGGGGCAGCAGGCCTGAGTTCCCTCCCCCACAACTGGGGGTGGAGAAGGAGAAGGGCCAGGCCTGGCACCCGTGCTGATGGCCCTGCCTGTCCACCTCACAGGAGAAGGAGGAAGAAGAGGGCATCTCGCAGGAGTCCTCCGAGGAGGAGCAGTGACCCGGCCACCTGCTTCCTCACTGAGGAGCCGTTTCCTTCTGGGACTGGACAGCTCCGCTCCCACTGCCCCTGCCCCCTCCCCCGGCCACCACCACCCACCCGCGCCCACCTGCACCGCCACACTACACAGCACACCAGCCGGGCCCTGGTGGCCCGAGTGGGGAGCAGTTTTCCTTTGGTCTCGGTCCCCAGCACCCCTCACCCCCATGTGCATCCCCCCGGCCTCCTGACAAAGCTGATGTCCCACTTAGCCGCACCCCATGCCTGCTGTGTCCCTGCTCCCTGGGTGGTGGGGGCATTGCTGACTGGGCTCCTGGTTTAGGGGGTCCCTTCCCCACTCTTACCTCTGGCTTCCCATTAGGGGGCCTGGGAGGGTTCCCCTGGCCTTAAAGGGGCCTGAGCCCCATCTCACTCTGACATGCCCGCTCCACTGTCCTGGCAGCAGCACCTGTGGCCATGGATAGGGTTGTTCGGCCCCAAGATGACCCAACAAACCTGTGTCTCACCAGGTGCGGCTCACGCCCACTTTCCTTCCTTCCACGAGTTGCCTAGCCCTGCACTAGGTTGAACAGCGCCCCCCTGGGGCACAGGAGGGAAGGCAGGAGGGTGTGAGCCCCTGGCCCCATCTGCTTCCACTCTAGGCCTCCAGTTTCCTCCCCCTCACATGGGGCACTAACAAGGAGCTAGCCTTGCCCGCTCCCACCCCCCGCTCCTCCCCACCCCCCAAGGTTCTGGTTCCATCTTTCCTCTGTTCACAAACTACCTCTGGACAGTTGTGTTGTTTTTTTGTTCCATGTTTCATTCTTAGACATCTGTCATTGCTGCTGCTACCAGCGCCAAATGTTCATCCTCACTGCCTCCTGTGCTGCCCACACTCCCCTCCAAGATGCTCTTGGGAAGGAGCCAGGGGCAAAGCAGGCTGGGAATCACCTGCCCCAGTCCCAGGGAAGTGGGGGCTCTGCCCCTAGGATGCTGCAGCTGAGTGAGCGGGGGCCTGTGTTGACAGCGGAGAGTGTAGGGCCACCTTCTCCCCGTTCTGCCGGGAGGAGGTAGCCATTATTTGTCCCAGCCTGGGCCCCTCCCTCTGGTTTCCTACTTGCAGTTACTTGAATAAAAATATATCCTTTTCTGGACTGGAGTCTCTGTAGGTGGGTGCCTGGAGCAGGTGAAGGTGGAGACCAAGAACCTGTTGGGGGTGGCTTCGGAGCTGTCCTGCCCAGCTCTTGAGGGTGGGGGCAGGAGGAGGAAAAGCAGGCACCTCGGGGGAGGTAATTTCAGGCCCTTGGAGAAATCACACCTCTAACCACAAAACATTTTATTTACAAAATATGTATACTGAAGACTATACATCAGCCCTGTCACCATGGGAAGCTCCCAAGCCAAGTCAGGGGCCCACAGGGCACAGCGGCCCACCCCAAGAGGAAAAGCCCCCAGTGCCTGGGAGCAGGCTCAGCCCGCAAAGGCCTACAGGCGGAGGGGGATGGGCTGGAGGGGTGGAGACCCAGTGCCCAGCCGGGGGCCGGGTGGGCAGGTGGGAGGGGAACCAGCAGGCGGCAGGACCCATGGTTCTGAAGGTGAGGGTGTCAGGTCTTGACGTCCAGTAAGGGCATCCGCTTGTGCTGGTAGCCACTCTGCCAGCCGTGCACCACCTGGGGGGGAGACCACCTTGGGCTCAGGCCCCTGGGAGAGGCCTTGCTACTCATCAATCCAAATGGGGAGGGGTGAGGGCAGAACCAGGCTGTGGTTTCTGGGGTGAGTGCGTGTGTGCGCAGAGCAGACCCCCCCCTCTGCGGGCTCCGTCTTACCTTCGGGTCTCCCACCTCAGAGAGTAGCTCCTGCTCAGCCTCATGGAGCTCCTCAGCGGGGTCGTAGCTGTACATGGGGAGCAGGTGATGGCGAAGCCTGTCCACCCTGGGGAGCAGGCGAGGGGGCTCAGCCCAGGGGCCACCCCCTTTACACATCTGACCGCCCTGTCTCCACTCCCCCAGGCTCTGGGACAAGGGCCTCTCCCCAGCAGGTGAGCTGAGCCAGGGCAGGAAAACCTAACAATGGGGGGCAGGGATTGCAGGCTGTGTCAGGATGGCCGAGGGCCATCTTACATGGACGCAGAGAACTCTGGTCCTATGAGAAGAAATTTAAGCCAAATGTGGGGAGGTAGTACTGGGGCGGGGACACTCACCGCTTTTTCTTCTGGACATACATTACCTGTAACAGAGACAGCGCTGTGGAGGCTGGGAGACCTGGACAGCCCACCCACCTCCACACCCGACTGCAGGACAGCTTGGGATGCTGTGTGCAGACGACCTGGCCCACCCAGCCCTTCTTCGCAAAGGTGTGGGTGTATGTGTGAATGAGGGGGCTCCTTACCACAGCCACCACCACCCCGATCAGGGTGATGAGGAAAAAAGGGCCCAACACATAGCCCACCATCGAGTCGCTGTTGGCCTGGGGGGCACTGGGCACTGTGGTGTTACTCATGACATCAGCAGCTGGAGGACTGTGTAGTCAGCATGGGCAGTGCCTCGGGAGGGCGCCTCCACTGGGCTCCCTGGGGAGGAGGAAGGGAGGTTATCAATTGCAGCGCGAGTGACACTGGCCCCTGGAGTCCTCCCCAGGAGCTGGTGCTATATGAAAACTTGGGCCAGGCACGGGGACGGAATCCTCCAGGTACCCTAACCTCCCAATAACTCTCAGCAAGTCCTGGGTGTAAAGGGGCACCTAGGGGAGGCCCAGACCCAGGGACTTAGTTCTGCTCAGCTCCAACCCTCCCGCCCCCCATCAGGGTGGGGCCCAGCTCAGGTGCAGGCCAAACATTTGCAATTCTAAACTGGGGAAAGATTAGACATAGGTCCCCAGCTCCTGCCCCGACCTCCTGGGGTGCTGGGCTGCCAGCACCTATCCAGTGAAGCAAAATAGGGGAATCAGGTAAAAACATGAGGGTCCTGCACGGTGGCCCAGGGGGTGAGGTAGGCGCACTGGAAGGAGCCTGTCTCAGTCCTGATCCAGTCCCCACTCCCCAGGCTACGGTATAGGCTGTACGCGTCCTCCTCGTCCCTGGTGTCGCTCCAGACAAACAGCCTGGACATCGTCTTCCCTGTGTCTCCTGCCCGGGTGGACACAAGTTGTCAGGGCTGGACTGCATCCCCCCCCTTCTGGTCCCCACCCAGGGCTCCGCCCCGGTCCCTACTCTCCTGGCCTGAGCTGACAAGCAGGAGAGGGTCAGCTCCCATGGACAGATGCAAGGAGACTGTCCTGGGGCGGCTGCACACAGGTGCCCCACGGTCCCTGACCCGGGTTCGCCTGGGTCTCCACCCGGGGGCACGGTGTGAACTACCCGCCCCGGTGTTCGTGGGGTCAGGTTGCTTAGTCGCACGCACATCGTCGAGAACACAAGTCGAGGTGGGGAGAGTGTCAGGCCGTTCCCAGGGCTCTGGGAGGCGCAGGCCGGGGGAGGGAGGCTTGGAAAGAGCGCAGAGGGGCCCCGGCTTCCTGGAACCCCGGGACCCCGAGGCGTGGACCCGTGCCAGCGCTCTGCAGCCCATCCGACCGGCCATGCCTTACCTCCCGCCGCTGCAGCCCGGACAGGAACGCCCTCGCTTGGCTCCCGGGCCCCGGAAGAGGCGGAGGCGCGTGATCAAAGGACCCGGGGAAAGGGGCGGAGCCTCAGGTTCGGAGCGCAGCCAATCCGGCGGCGTGGAGGCGGGGACGGAGCGGGTTGCAGGGCCCACCCCGCGGCGGCAGGGGGCGGCCGAGAGCTGCGCAGCGGGGGGAGGAGAGTGCGCGGGAGGGGGCGGGGCGCGCGGTTTCCCGGCGTGCCCCGGGGCGGACCTCGTGGAGCGCCCCCGCTCGGGACTCCCCTTCCCGGCGAGGCCTGGCGTCCTCGCTCGGGACCCAGGTCTGGAGCCGAGCCGCTTCTAACGCTGAGCTCGGGCGTTGGCGACCGGGGCACGTCCCTCCCGCCGGGGCCCTGCCCGGGGCGATCGGCCTCCGTTAGCAGGTGGCGTCCGCCACGCCCGGCACGGACCTACCGCACTGCCCGCGCCGCAGTCCCAAGGTCTGTAACCGGCTGCAGCGATGTGTCAGGAGGCAGCACACCACGCCCTGCACCTTCCTTAATTTCTCAGGCCACCTCTCGGGGGGCGGGGCACATGTGGGGCGGGGGCGGGGTGCCACCCTGGTTACAGCTGCCTGCTGAGTGGGTAAGCTTGGCTGATCATGGAAATGTCACACATCTGCCGGATAAATCTCGGAAGATTGGTGGATTTTTACCAATGTCAGTATTCTGGCTTGTTACACTATAGTTTTGCCAAAGTTGTTATTGGGAGCATCGTCCCCAAAAGGGTTGCGGGTTCGACCCCGCTCCGGGCGTGTAGGGGAGGCAGTCGATCCGTGTTTCTCTCCTTCCCCCTCCTCCCTCTAAAATCAATAAAAACATGTCCTCCGGTGAGGGTTTTATTTTTTTTATCATTGGGAGAAGTAGGCAAAGTGTACAAGGGGATCTCTATTATTTCTTACAACATGCAGGTGAATCCGCAGTTACCTCACGTGTGTGTGGTTTTGCACCAGCGGCCCCCCCCCCCGCCCCCCCAGGATCACACACAACTGGGGGAACTCCAGACTGGCAGGTGATGGAAACCTCCTAAGAACATAAGGTTGTTGCAGTTGAACCAGGCCGAGATCCTCCTCCTGGGTCCTCAGGTGCCACTGGAGATACAGGGTCCCCCAATTTTTTTAAAAAATATTTGTATTGATCTCAGAGAGGAAGGGAGAGATAGAAACATCAATGAGAGGATCACTGATTGGCTGTCCCCCCGCTTGCCCCCCACTGGGGATCAAGCCCGCAACCTGGGCATATGCCCCTGACCGGAAGAAACCCAGGACCCTTCAGTCCACAGGCCAACGCTCTACCCACTGAGCCACACCGGGTAGGGCATGGGTCACCCTGTTTTTGCCAGAGGCAGCCAATGGCATGGACATAATGAAGCCATTGGGTCTGATCTGACCTGTCTCCGAAGGTCCTTCCTGGGAAGGTTGGATGCTCCCACTGAGAACCAGATTGTAGGTTCTTTGGCCTCTTGCTTCCAGATGCAACCACCTGACTGGTGGGGACTCGGATAAAGGGAAAGGAATCAAACGCCTGCGTTCGGAGGCTCCTGGTAGATTTCCTGGCGTTCTCAGCCTTTTGAGTCTGAAGAGTAGGGAGCCCATGCAGAGGGGGAGGCCACCTCCTCAGGCAAGGCCTGCCTCACACTGGAAGGCAGTGGGGACCGATGGATAGGTTTCATTTTTTAAAATTTATTTTTCCACAGTATCTGTTAATCATTTATTTATCAAGAGAACTATTCCTTAGCTCAGATATCCCTGTTTCATATTCAGGAGCACAGCTCAGTGACAAACTTCCATGGAATTCAACCCAAAGAAATTCCTTACATTCCAAGGTCACGTTGCACTCTGAGAGATGCCAGCCTTCTTCATCTCCTCAGACTCTTCCCTGGAATTACAGTTTCTGTGGGAATCTGCCAATGCCTCCTTTCTTGGTTCCCCCACAGCAAACTCACAGAAAGCTGCAGCCCCAGGGACACAATGGTGGTTCCAACAACATGAAATCGCAGACTCGTGGCTGAAGGCCACACATCGGAGGTCTTGTCAAAGCCCTGGAAGTGTCACTGGACAGGGACCTGGCCCTGAGCTCGTCTCTCTAGGACCAGCGGTTCTGGACTTCAGGAAAAATGTCGCACCACCAGTCCAGGTGACTGTGAGGGTATGCTAATTAAAACCGGGACAGAGGCAGCCACAGGTGAGCGAGGCTGGGAAGTCAGAGAAGGGCCTTGGGGACAGGCTTAGGGGATTAGCCTGGGATGAGCTGCTGCTGGGATGAGCTGCTGCTGGGATGAGCTGCTGCTGGGATGAGCTGCTCCTAAACTCTGAATCCTAGAGTTTAGGAGATTTGTGCCTGTGGGGGAAGAAGAGGGAGAGGGGAAGCTAGGGCCTGCTCCCAGGAGGGGAGTGCACACTGCATCCTTTGGAGCCTTTTCTCTCTCTCTTGCAGGCAGGAATCGTAGGGGAGGGTTACGGCAGAATATTCATCCATTTTCTAGGTGTGTGTGGGGTTTTTGTTGTTAATCCTCACCCAAGGAAACTGATTTTAGAGAGAATGGAAGCGAGGGAGAGAGACAGAGAAACATTGATGTCTCATGTCGATTGGTTGCATGCCCACGAGTTGAGCCTGCAACCTAGATACATGCCTTTGACCGGGATCAAACCTGGGATCGATCCAGGATAGAGCTTTAGTCCATGGGCTGACGCTCTAGCCACTGAGCCAAACCAGCTAGGGCTCCAGCTGTGGTTTCTTTTGTTTTGTTTTGTTTTGTTCACATTCACAGTATTTATTTAAAAGTAAAGTCCCCCTATAAGTGGACCACACAGTTCTAACCTGTGCTATTCAAAAGCCAACTGTACTTCAAAATAGCAATTTGTGCTATTACTCAGAATTATTTCTTTTTAAAAAATCTTAATTGTTGGAAGTATTACATGTCTCCCTATTTCCCCCACCGACCCTCTCCCCTTTCCAACCCACTGTCTGCATTCATGGGTCCTGCATTTATGCATACAAGGTCTTTGGTTGATTACCTCCCACCCACCCACCTTCCACCGCATTCCCTCCGAGATTCCGCACTCTGTTCCATGCTTCCATGTCTCTGCATCCACTCTGCTCATCAGTTTATCTTGTTGATTAGATTCCATATATGAGTGAGATCATGGGATACTTGTCTTTCTCTGACTGACTTATTTCACTTAGCATGAGACTCTCCAGGTCCCTCCATGCTGTCTCATAGGGTAAGAGATTTTTCTTTTTTTACTGCTGCATAGTACTCCATGGTATAAATGTACCACAGCTTTTTTATACACTCATCTATTGAAGGGCACTTGGGCTGTTTCCAGATCTCAGCTATTGTAAATTGTGCTGCTATGAACATAGGGGTGTATACATTCTTTCTGATTGGTGTTTGGGGTTTCTTAGGATATATTCCTAGAAGTGGGATCACTGGGTCAAATGGCAGTTCTATTTTTAATTTTTTGAGGAAACTCCATACTGTCTTCCACATTGGCTGCACCAGTCTGCATTCCCACCAGCAGTGCACGAGGGTTCCCTTTTCTGCACATCCTCACCAGCACTTGTCATTTGTTGATTTGTTGATGGTAGCCATTCTGACAGGTGTGAGGTGATACCTCATTGCCATTTTAATTTGCATCTCTCTGATGATCAGTGACTTTCATCATTTTTTCATATGTCTGTTGGCCATCTGTATGTCCACTTTGGAGAAGTGTGTCTTTGCCCATTTTTTAATTGGATTTTTTTGTTTGTTTGTAAATATATTTTATTGATTTTTTACAGAGAGGAAGGGAGAGGGATAGAGAGTTAGAAACATCGATCAGCTGCCTCTGCACATCTCCTACTGGGGATGTGCCCACAACCAAGGTGCATGCCCTTAACTGGAATCGAACCTGGGACCCTTCAGTCCGCAGGCCGATGCTCTATCCATTAAGCCAAACCGGTTTCGGCTAATTGGATTGTTTATCTTCCTTTTGTTAAGATGTATGAGCTCCTTATATATTTTGGAGATTAACCCTTTATCAGATGTATCATTGCCAAATACGTTCTCCCATATAGTGGGGTCCCTTTTTGTTTTGTTGATGGTTTCTTTTGCTGTGAAGAAGCTTTTTATTTTGATGTCCCATTTGTTTATTTTCTCTGTAGTTTCCTTTGCCCCAGGAGATGTATCCATAAACATATTGCTACGAGAGTTGTCTGAGATTTTGCTGCCTATGATTTCTTCTAGGATTTGTATGGTTTCCCAACTTACATTTAGGACTTTTATCCATTTTGAGTTTATTCGTGTGTATGGTGTGAGTTGGTGGTCTAGTTTCATTTTTTTGCATGTATCTGTCCAATTTTCTCAGCACCATTTACTGAAGGGACTGTCTTGACTCTATTGTGTGCTCTTGGCTCCTTTGTAACTATTAATAAGCGTAATGTCTTGGGTTGATTTCTGGGTTCTCTATTCTGTTCCGTTGATCTATATGCCTGTTCTTGTGCCAGTACCAGCCTATTTTCAGTACAGTGGCTTTGTAGTATAACTTGATATCTGGTATTGTGATCCCTCCAACTTTGTTCTTCTTTCTCAAGATTGCTGCAGCTATATTGAGTGCTTACCTGTTTACTCAACAAGAGGGTTATATCCTCTTGTTGGATTGATCCCTTGAGTATTATGTGGTGACCTTTGTTGTTTCTTGTGATGGCCTTCATTTTGAAGTCTATTTTGTCAGGTATGAATATTGCTACTCCAGCTTTTTTTTCTTTTCCATTTATATGGAAAATTTTTTCCATCCCTTCACTCTCATCCTCTGTGAGTCTTTTGTTCTGAAGTGGGTCTCTTGTAGACAACATATAGTAGGGTCATATTTTTGTATCCATTCAGCTATCCTATGTCTTTTGATTGGGGCATTTGATAGATTTACATTTAAGGTTATTATCGATAGGTACTTATTGCCATTTTAATTCTGTATCCCTAGGTTTCTCTCTCTATTTCTTCTCCTCATTATAGCAGTCCCTTTAGCCTTTTTTGTAATGCTGGCTTGGTGGTGATGTCCTCCTTTAGCCTTTTATTTACTTATTTATTTATTTAGTCTTGGAAGCTCTTTATTTCACCATCTATTTTGAATGATAGACTTGCTGGATATAGTAATCTTGGCTTCAGGTTCTTGCTTTCCATTACCTTGAGTACTTCATGCCATTCCCTTCTGGCCTGTAGAGTTTCTGATGAGAAATCAGGTGTCAGCCTTATGGGGGTTCCTCTGTAGGTAATAATTTGCTTTTCTCTTGCTGCCTTTAAGATTCTCTCTTTGTCTTTAATTTTTGGTATTTTAATTATGATGTGTCTGGGCATGGGCCAATTTGAGTTCTTCTTGCTTGGGACTCTCTGTGCCTCCTGAACTTGTGTGACTTTTTCCTTCACCAGGTTAGAGAAGTTTTCTGCCATTATTATTATTATTATTTTAATTTTTATTTTTTAATCTTTATTGTTCAGATTATTACAGTTCTTCCTCTTTTTTCCCCCCATAGCTCCCCTCCACCCGGTTCCCACCCCACCTTCTGCCCTTACCCACCCACTGTCCTCATCCATAGGTGTACGATTTTTGTCTGGTCTTTTCCCGCACCCCCCACATGCCTTTCCCTCCGAGAATTGTTAGTTCACTCCCTTTCTATGCCCCGAATCTATTATAATCACCAGTTTATTCTGTTCATCAGGTTTTTATTCACTTGATTTTTAGATTCACTTGTTGATAGATATGTATTTATTGTTCATAATTTTTATCTTTACCTTTTTCTTCTTCTTCCTCTTCTTAAAGGATACCTTTCAGCATTTCATATAATGCTGGTTTGGTGGTGATGAACTCCTTTAGCTTTTTCTAGTCTGTGAAGCTCTTTATCTGACCTTCAATTCTGAATGATAGCTTTTCTGGGTAAAGTAATCTTGGTTGTAGGTTCTTGCTATTCATCACTTTGAATATTTCTTGTCATTCCCTTCTGGCCTGCATAGTTTCTGTTGAGAAATCAGCTGACAGTCATATGGCCATTATTTCTTCAAACATGGTCTCTATTCCTTCCTCCCTTTCTGTCTCTTCTGGCACACCTACTATTTGAGTATTGTTACTTTTCTTGTTGTCCCATTGGCTCTTTAAGCTGTCCTCCTGTTTTTTAATTTTTTTCTTTATGGTTCTCTGATTGAGTTTTTCAACCCTGTCTTCTAATCCACTGATTCTATCCTCAGCTTCCCTTAATCTGCTGTGTATTTCTTCTAATGTGTATTTTATTTGTGCCATGTCATTCTCTTTTTCTGTTTTCATAGTTACTATATTTTTTTCTCATGATTTTGAGCATCTTCACCATCATTATTTTAAACTCTGTATCAGATATATTTGTTATCTCCATTTCATTTAGCTCTTCTGGAGAATTCTCTTGTTCTTTTACTTGGGGATTGTTTCTTTGTCTCCTCATTTTGGCTGCTTATTTGGGTTTGTGAATATGTATTAGGTAGATCTGCTGTTCCTCTCAATCTCTAGTGCAGGACAGTGTCAAATGCTGTTTCTGACTAATTGGATCAGGCAATGACTCAAAGCTTCCAGAGACCACCTCTGCCTACAGACAGATAGGATTCTGCCTTGAACAGCCCTCAGGTAATCATCCACAGGTGTGGCGAGAGTTATTACAATAGGGTGGGGCAATTGCTTCTGCTAGGAGGCTGTCATTCTTAGTCTCTTAATGGGCCTTAGAAATTTCGCACCATAGGGCAAGTTGTTTTCTAATAGGGTGGGTCAGTTGTCTTCCTCCCAGGAAAAGCCACCTATATAGCAAATGTCTAAGTGAGAAAGATGACCTCCACAGTGTGAGGGAATGACTCAGCACGAACTGGAGCGTCTGCCTTCTGAGCTCTAACCCAAGAGCTCCAGGCCACCCTGCCCTCCCTCTGCTGGAGCACAAGGTGCATGGCTCCACAGAGAATATTGTGCGTTGGCCCTTTAAGAGAGTGCCTGCATTTCCAGCGTCTCTCCCTGGCAGACAGCAACCCCACTGCTTTTCACAGCCAGATTTATGTGGGTACCCTTCTCAGTTCTGGTGCTCTCTGCTGGGGGTTCCAGCTTTGGATTAGGCCCCAGAGTTTTCAGTGGCAACTCCCCACAGTCAAGATATCTCTCCGGAACTTCAGTTGCTGTCTGTGGGAGCCCAGCTTTTGCGCCTCTGTCCCTCCTACCAGTCTCTATGTGGTCTCCACTTTCCATCCTCAGTTATCAGGGTTCTCTCCAGTGAGTCTTCTGTTGATTGTTCAGGAAGTTTTTCTATATTTTAGTTGTAATTCCAGTTTGGTCCTGGGAGCTTGCTGTGCAGCATCCACTTACTCTGCCATTACATCCATTTTTAATCCCAGGTGTGGTTTTTGAGGGTCATGGTCGCTATTGATCAGTCAGTGCCAGGGCAGGAGGTCGTTAGTCATTGCAGCTGGTCCTGGTGTCACCCACATGATTTTGCTGCTTTTCTGGGCCTGGAACTGAAATACAACTGGGGCCTAGAGGTTATCTCTAAGGAGATGATTTTCTCTATTTGTTATAAATTGCTCTGCCAGTTTGTTCAGTTATTTGCCTCAGTTTCTCCATTCCACGTGTCCTGGCTTACTGGTCTGTCTCAGAAGCCCTGGTATTTATTCTCCTCAACTTCATGTCCTTCCTCACTCAGGTGATAGGTTTTAGAACCCAGGCCTCCTTGGCTGCCCACACACCCAACCTTTGTCCTCACCCCTAGGGCTTCTAACCATGTATCTTGAGACTTAGTGGTCCTAGGAGCAGGCCTAGTGGTCACATTGGCTAGGCCAGTGTGTGGAAAGGGTTGGGGTCTTAATATTAGAGACTTAGCATGTTTTCTTCCCTTACTCCTAGAACAGAACACTATTTTGAGCTATGCAGGGCAGGTGGGACCACCCCAGTTTACAAATGAGTAAGCTGAGGCCCTGAGCAGTGTGATGACTTCCCAAGGGTAAGGCAGACTGGGATGACAGATGGGCCCTTCCTCCTGGAGAGCTGTGTTGGCAGTTGCCCCAGGGCCACATTTGAGGCCTGGTTAGTTCCTGTGTTGAAGTGGACTGTGGTAAGTTAAAGATGTATACTATAAATCCTAAACCAATTAGTGAAATAACAATTATAGCTACTAAGCCAACAAAAGAGATAAAATGAAATAAAAAATACTCAAGTGCCCTGACTCAGGTGGCTCAGTTGGCTGGAGTGTCATCCTGTGCACCAAAAGGTTGCAGGTTTAATCTCCAGTCAGGGCACATACCTAGGTTGCAGGTTTGATCCCTGGCCATGGTGCCTACAGGAGGCAACTGATTGATGTTTTTCTTTTACACTGATGATTCTCTCTCTCTAAAAATCAAAAACATCCTTGCATGAGGACTAAAATAAAAATACTCAACCCCAAAGAAGGTAGAAAAAGAGGAAAAGGGGAACAAAGAGCAGATGATAGAACTAAAAACCCCAATAGGATGATAAACTGAAACCTAACTATATCAAAATCACATTAAAGGTAAATGATCTAAACAACCAATTAGAAGGCAGAGAGATGTCAGAATGGAGAATAAAGCAAGACCCAATTATATGCTGCCTGTAAGAAATGTACTTTAGCCCAGCAGGCGTGGCTCAGTGGTTGAGTGTTGACCTATGAACCAGGAGATCACAGTTCAATTCCTGGTCAGAACACATGCTCAGGTTGTAGGCTCGATGTGGGATGTGCAGGAGGTAGCCAATCAATGACTCTCTCATCACTGATGTTTCTCTCTCTTTCTCCCTCTCTCTTCCTCTCTGAAATCAATAAAAAAAATTTTTTTTAAAGAAATGTACTTATTTATTTTTAAATTTTTATTTACTGATGTTTTTAGAGAAAGAGGAGGAGAAAGAGAGAGAAACATCATTCTGTTGTTTCATTTATTTATGCATTCATTGGTTGATTTCCGTATGTGCCCTGACTGGAGATTGAGCCTGCAACCTTGGTATATTGGGATGACACTCTAACCAATAGAGCTACCCTGCCAGGGCAAGAAATTACTTTAATTAATTAATTAATTAATTTTTAATCCTTACCCGAGGATATTTTATATATGTATATGTTTTTATTGATTTTTTCTTTTTAGAGAGAGAGAGAGGAAGGGAGAGGAATAGAGAGAAAGAAACATCGATAAGAAAAGAACATCATCAATTGGCTGCCTCTTGCACAGTCCCCACTAGGGATTGAGCTGGCAACCTGGGCATAGGCATGTGTCCTGACCATGAATCAAACCAGCTATCTCTTGGTTCCTGGATCGCCACTCAACTACTGAGCCACACCGGTCAGGCCTGAGGATATTATTTCCATTGATTTTTAGAAAGAGTAAAAGGGAGAAAGAGAGAGACACATTAATGTGAGGGAGACACATTGATTGGTTGCCTGCTGCATATGCCATGACTGGAGCTCGAGATCAAACCTGCAACCTAGGTATGGGTCCTTGACCAGGAATCGAACCTGTGATTCTCCAGTGCACAGGCCAACACTCTCATCACTGAGCCATGCCAGCCAGGACAAAAATGTACTTTAATATAAAAATTCAAATAGAATAAAAGTAAAGATACCCAATGCTTATGCTAATCAAAAGAAAGCTAGGAAGGCTACAATAATATCAGACAAGGTTGATTTCAGAGCAAAGAATATTACCAGGGATAAAGAAGATCAGTTCATAATGAAGGGGTTAATTAATCAAGGACATAATAATCCTAAATGTCCATGGGCCTAATAAGAGTGCTTCAAAATATATAAAACAAAAACTGATAGAACTGCAAGAAAAGACAACCACAATTATAGTCAGAGATTCCAATACTACTCTTTCAGTGACTGAAAGATGAGTAGACAAATAATCAGCCAGGAAATAATAGACTTGAATAACACAGTCTATCAACCAACTTGTCCTGATTGACATTGAGAGAATACTCCACCGAATAAGTTACATATTTTCAAGTGCACATAAAACATTTATCAAGACAAATCATATTCTGGGCCTTAAAACAAGCATCAATAAATCAAAAAGGATTCAAGTCATACAAAGTATGCTCTGATCACAATGGAATTATATTAAAAATCAATTAACAACTCTAGCCAGTTTGGCTCAGTGGATAGAGCATCGGCCTGTGACCAAAGGGTCCCGGTTTCGATTCTGGTCAAGGCCACGTACCTTGGTTGCAGGCTCCTCCCTGGAGGCAACCAATCGATGTGTTTCTCTCACATCGATGTTTCTCTCTGTCTTTCGCTCTCTCTTCCACTCTTCCTAAAAATCAATGGAAAAATAAATTAAATAAATAAATAAATAAAAAATAAAACTTATTTTTTAAAAAATCAATTAACAGCCCTGACCAGTATGGCTCAGTTGGTTGAGCTTTCTCCTGAGCACTGAAAGGTCACCAGTTCAATTAAGGTCAGGGCTTGGTCCCCAATGTGGTGCATGCCAGAGGCAGCTGCACTCACATCAATGTTTCTCTCACTCTCTCGCCCCCTTATAAAAAAATTTAATAGACTCGGAAAACCAAGATGGTGGCATAGGTAAATACCTGTACTCGCTACCTCCCACAGCCACATCCAAGTTACAACTAAAATACAGGACAACCATCATCCAGAACCACCAGAAAGCTGGCTGAATGGAAATACTACAATTAGAGAAGTAAAGAAGAAAGCACGCTGAGACTGGTGGAGGTGCGGAGGCGCAGAACGGGCTGGCCCAGCACTCCGCATGCCGCTGTTTTAATCAGGAGGGAGATCACCTCTGCGGAGGCCACCCAGAGGAGCAAGGGGTCCCAGCCCCAGGTTCCAGAGCTGGGGAAAGAAGTCCCTATGAGCAGTAAGAACTACAGGCTGTAAAAACAGGTGTGGATTGGGGCTGAGTGACACCCAGGCTACTGGAGACCCAGCTGCTTCTCTTAAAAGGCTGGCACCACGAACTGAATTTACAAGCTCCCTCACCCACTGAGGCCCAGTGCCGGGCAAGGCTCTGGAGACTCAGACACATATGGGGAGAAACTGGACTATCTGGTTTTGGGACAAGAACACAGGAGCGGCTTTCTTCCAGATAGAGGTGCTCGCAGTGGTCATTGTTCCCATGCTGGGACCTAACGAGTGCAGAGCTGACTGTCAGCCATTTCTGTTTGCTTCACCCTGGTGATTTCCTAAGACCCTGCCTCATCCAGTTTACAACCTCACCCAAGCTGTGTGCAGCGGCTTTTGCATACAAATGGCCTGTCCTTTCTCAGGCTAAAAATCTGTCAAACAAGCTGCAGCTGGGTCAGGGAACCCCAAACCTATCAATAAAAGGCCCAAGACTGGCACCAGCACCAGCCTGCCTTGCTTCACAGCTGGACCTCATGTGGGCACTTCCAAACCTGATACAAAGAGAAGGATCTGCAGATCTTTCTGTAGCTCCTGCTGGATGGCCCCAGGCAGTGGCTGACTTTGCACCTCCCTGGAGGCCCAAGAGCCAGTATACCCAGTGGTCAGTGTGAGACCATCCAGATTACAACTCTTCACATCCATAAGCGACACACTCAAGGGGCAGACTCAGCACCAAAGCCCCACCGAATCAAGTCCTGCTCCATAAGGGTGTCTCCTGCACAGCAGCTCTCTCACTGTAGTCGCAGCTGGTCCCCACAGACAATTGGCCTGGAGGTCAATTCCTCCCAGTGACACCAACAGCAATTAAGGCTCCACTAAAACAAGGCTGTGCACACAGCTCACAAAGGGGTGTACCAAGAGTGTCCACCTCAGGTGACTGGGGAGGCTGAGCCACTGGGCCCTTTAGGACACCTACTACACAAGGCCACTCTATCAACTCAAGGAGATTTAGCAGCTACCCAATACATAGAAACAAACACAGGGAAGCAGCCAAAATGCAGAGACAACGAAACATGTCATAAATGAAAGGAATGGAATAAAGAAAACTACTAGATATAGAGTTCAAAACCACAGCTATAAGGTTACTCAGGAATCTTCTAGAAACTTCCAAGGAACTTAGACTTTTAAGGATCTTAGTGTGAATGCCAAAAAAATGGAAAAGGACTAGTCAGAAACTAAGCATACACTGACTGAAATAAAGAATAATATACAGAGAGTCAAAGTAGACTAGAGGATCCCAAGAACCAAATCAATGATTTGAAATATAAGGAAGCAAAAAACACCCAACCAAAAGAGCAAAAAGAAAAAAGAATCCAAAAATATGAAGATAGTAAGGAGTCTCTGGGACAACTTCAAGTGTACCAACATATGAATTATGGGGGTGCCAGAAGAAGAGAGAGAGCAAGATATTAAAAACCTATTTGAAGAAATAATGACATTCCCTTACCTGGTGAAAGAAATAGACTTACAAGTCCAGGATGCACAGAGAACCCAAAACAAAAGGAATCCAAAGAGGACCACACCAAGACACATCATAATTAAAATGCCAGGAGCAAAAGACAAAGAGAGAATCTTAAAAGCAGCAAGAGAAAGACAGTTAGTTACCTACAAGGGAATACCCATATGACTGTCAGCTGATTTCTCAACAGAAACTATGCAGGCCAGAAGGGAATGGCAATAAATATTCAAAGTGATGAATAGCAAGAACCTACAACTGAGATTACTCTACCCAGCAACGCTATTATTTAGAATTGAAGGTCAAAGCTTCACAGACTAGAAAAAGCTAAAGGAGTTCATCACCACCAAACCAGTATTATATGAAATGCTGAAGGGTATTCTTTAAGAAGAGGAAGAAGAAGAAAAAGGTAAAAAAAAAAAGAGAAAAAAAAAAAGAACAACAAAGACAACAAATATTTATCTATCAACAACTGAATCTAAAAATCAAATCAAAAATCTTGATTAACAGAATAAACTGGTGAATATAATAGAATCAGAGGCATGGAAATGGAACAGACTGACGATTCTCAGAGGGAAGAAGGTGTGTGGGGGGGTGTGGGAAGAGATTAGACAAAGATCTTATATGCATTACCTGTGGACACAGACAATAGGGTGGTGAGTGCCTGGGGTAAGGTGGGAACCGGGTGTTGGGGAGCTATGGGGAGGGGGGAGAAGAGGGACATCTGTAATAATCTCAACAATAAAGATTAATTTTTAAAAATTCAATAAAAAGGAAAACCAAGATGGCGGTATAGGTAAACACCAGAGATTTCTGCCTCGCACAACCACTTCAAGAATACAACTAAAAGACGGAATGGACATCATCCAAAACCACAGGAAGATCGGCTAAGTGGAAATTCTACAAATAGAAGGAAAGAGAAAAGCATACCAAGACTCAGAGAAGGTGCAGTGCGGAAGTACAGAGGTACGGAGGCGCATGCAGAGAGGGCTGGTGGCTGAGGACATGGTTGTCTTTTTCAATCAGGAGGGAGTCTCAAGCTCTGAGCTCCAGTTCTGGGTGAGTCTCTGGGGACCCAGACTCATATGGGAGAAACTGGACTGTCTGGCATCGGTGGGAACTCGGGGGCGGCTTTTTCTCAGAGGTGCTTACAGGGATTGCCAGGACACTGAGAAGCGGGGCCTCTGAGGGCAGCCATAGCTGCTTGCTCTACCCTGTTGATCCCCTGGGACCCCGCCCCGCCCAAGCCGCAAGCTGCAGGGAGACTTTTGCATATGAAAGGCCTGGCCCTTTGCAATCTGAAAATTACCTAACAAATAGCAGCTGGCCCAAGGCCCCAGGCAACTTGCATTGCTTCACACCTGGCTCCTGCTGTATAGCCTCAGGCAGAGGCTAGATTAGCACCTCCTTAGAGATCCAGGAGCCAGTGTGCCCAGTGGTCAGAGTGGGACCATCCAGATTACAACTCCTCAGATCCATAAGGGACACACTCAGGGGGCAGACTCAGTGAGCACCAAAGCCCCATTGAAGCAAGTCTTGCCCCAGAGGGGTGTCTCCAGCACAGAAGTTCTCCCACTGCAGACACAGCTGATTCTCACAACCAATTGGCCTGGAGGTCAATTCCTCCCAGTGATACCTATAACAATCAAGGCTTAACTACAACAAGACTGTGCACAAAGCCCACAGGGGGTGCACCAAGAGTGTCCACCTCAGGTAATTGGGGAGGCTGAGCCACTGGGCTCTATAGGACATCTAGCACAGAAAGCCACTCTATCAACACAGGGAAGCATAAAAAATGCGGAGACAAAGAAATAGGACACAAATGACAGAAATGGAGGAAAGCAAACTATTGGATATAGAGTTCAAAACCACACTTTTAAGGTTTTTCAAGAACTTTCTAGAAACCGCTGACAAATTTAGTAAGACCCTCAAAAAGACGGGTGAGACCGCCGATAAATGTAGTGAGATCCTCAAGAAATCTAGTGAGACCATCGAGGGTATGAAAAAGGACCAACTAGAAATTAAGCATACACTGACTGAAATAAAGGATATTATGCAGAGTTCCAACAGCAGACTAGAGGATTGCAAGAATCAAGCCAAAGATTTGAAATATGAAGAAGCAAAAAATATCCAACCGGAAAAGCAAAATGAAAAAAGAATCCAAAAATACGAAGATAGTGTAAGGAGCCTCTGGGACAGCTTCAAGCGTACCAACATCTGAATTATAAGGGTGCCAGAAGAAGAGAGAGAGCAAGACATTGAAAACCTATTTGAAGAAATAATGACAGAAAACTTCCCCTACCTGGTGAAAGAAATAGACTTACAAGTCCAGGAAGCGCAGAGAACCCCAAACAAAAGGAATCCAAAGAGGACCACACCAAGACACATCATAATTAAAATGCCAAGAGCAAAAGACAAAGAGAGAATCTTAAAAGCAGCAAGAGAAAGAAACTCAGTTACCTACAAGGGAATACCCATATGACTGTCAGCTGATTTCTCAACAGAAACTTTGCAGGCCAGAAGGGAGTGGCAAGAAATATTCAAAGTGATGAATGCCAAGAACCTACAACCAAGATTACTTTATGCAGCACAGCTATCATTCAAAATTGAAGGTCAGATAAAGAGCTTCACAGATAAGGAAAAGCTAAAGGAGTTCATCACCACCAAACCAGGATTATATGAAATGCTGAAAGGTATCCTTTAAGAAGAGGAAGAAGAAGAAAAAGGTAAAGATACAAATGATGAACAACAAATACACATCTATCAAGTGAATGTAAACATCAAGTGAATAAATAATCTGATAAACAGAATAAACTGGTGATTATAATAGAATCAGGGGCATAGAAAGGGAGTGGACTAACTATTCTTGGGGGGGAAGGGGTGGGGGGGTTGTGGGAAGAGACTGGACAAAAATCGTGCACCTATGGATGAGGACAGTGGGAGGGGGGGTGAGGGCAGAGGGTGGGTGGGAATCGGGTGGAGGGGAGCTATGGGGGGGGAAAAAGAGGAACAACTGTAATAATCTGAACAATAAAGATTTAATTATTTAAAAAAACAACACCTATAATGACCATAAAAAAAATTCAATAAAAAATATTTTAAGAAATCAGTAACAGTAAAATCCTTAGAAAATCCTGCTATACTGTATTTGGAAAATGAATTACACACATCTAGATAAAGAATAATTGGGAAATATTTTGAGCTGAATGAAAATGAAAAGAACATATCAATCTGTGGACACCTCCATTAGAGAAGTTTATAGTACTAAATGTCTATCTTTTGTTTTGTTAATCCTCACCTGAGGATTTTTTCCATTGATTTTTAGAGAGAGTGGGAGGGGGAGAGACAGAGAAAGGGAAACATCAATGTGACAGAGACACATCGACTGGTTGCACCCCCCCCCCCCCCCACACACACACATGCCCCAACCAGAGCTAGGAATTGAGCCTGCAATGGAGGCACATGCCCCCAACTGGAATCAAACCTGGGACTCTCTAGTTCACAGGCCAATGCTCTATCCACTGAGCAAACTGGCTAGGGCTATTTTTTAAAACTATATATTTTAATTTCTTTTATAATGTTTATTGATTCCTTTGTGTGTGTGTGTATATATATATATTATATAGGATATATTATATAGGATGTAATTTATTATATATATATATATATCCTATATAATATACTTTATTATATTATATAGGATATATATAATAATAAGAGGCAATATGCAAATTGACCATCACTCCAACACACAAGATGGCCACCTCATGTGGTCAAAGTTGGCCGCCCCCATGTGGACACAAGATAGCCACCACAAGATGGCTAGCAGTGGAAGGCAGTTGGAAGGGATCAGGCCTGCAAGGTAGGGCAGTTAGGGGCGATCAGGCCAGCAGAGAAGGGCAGTTGGGGGGGACCAGGCCTGCAGTTGGAGGAGACCAGGCCTGCAGGGGAGGGCAGTTGGGGGGAACCAGGCCTGCAGGGGAGGGCAGTTGAGGGCAACCAGGCCAGCAGGGAGGGCAGTTGGAAGGGACAAGGCCTGCAGGGAAGGGCAGTTGGGGGGGACCGGGCCTGCAGGAGAGGGCAGTTGGGGGAGACCAGGCTGGCTGGGCCACCCAGCAGGAGCTACAGAGACATCTGTAGATTCCTCCTCTTTGTTTGGGGTTTGGAGGTGCCCAGATGAGGCCCAGCTGTGTAGCAATGCAGGCTGCTGTCAAGCCTTAGGCCTTCTTTTGGAAGCTCTGAAGCTCTCTGACCCAGCTGCAGTTTGTTAGGTTTTAGGTGGCGAGAGCACAGGCCATTCATATGCAAAAGCTGCTGCACACAGCTTGGGTGGGGTTGTAAATTGGGTGGGGTGGGGTCTCAGGGAATCACCAGGGCAGTCAGCCCTGCATTGGATAGGTCCCCAAGGTCCCCGAGTCTCCATGTTCCGCGCCCTGTGCAGGAGCAGTGATGGCTGCAAGCACCTCTGAGAGAAAGCCACCCTCGTGTTCCTGCCAGATGCCAGATAGTCCAGTTTCTCCCCGTATGAGTCTGAGTCCCCAGAGTCTCGCCCGGAACTGGAGTTCAGAGCAATCGGGAGCTTGTATCTCCCTCCAGATTGAAAAAGAACAGCGCACCCAGTTGCCAGCCCGTTTCGTGTGCGTCTCTGTACCTCTGCACCTCTGCACCTCCTACCAGTCTCAAATGTGCTTTTCTTTTTCCTTCTTGTTGCAGAATTTCCACTCGGCCAGCCTTCCTACGGTTCTGGATGACATCCATTTTGTCTTTTAGTTGTGGTTTTGATGTGGTTGTGTGAGGCAGCAAGTACAGGTGTATATCCATGCCACCATCTTGGTTCCTCCAGGGCTATACCATCTTAGTTTTAATAGCATACATTAACTTCTCCTATCCAATTCTGTACACACACACACACACACACATTTTATGTTGTTGCTACAAATTCACCTCTACACGTTGTTAACATAGATTTATAATTATTGTTTTATATATCTTTTAAATCATATCCTATATAATAAAGAGCTAATATGAAAATTGTTGTCATGCCCTCACGCCATCAAGCTCAGACAATTAACACGGGGGAGAGAGGAGTGGGGACCAGCCAGGCACAAATGAGCTCATGAGAGAGGAATGGGGGCCATCCAGGCACAAATAAGCTTGTGAGAGAGGAATGGGAACCAGCCAGGCTGCAGCCAAGGAGAGGAACAAGCCACCTACCCCGTGGTCCCGGGCACCTGTGGCTGCAGCCCGGGTGAAGCCGCCTGCCCATGGTCCCCTACGGCTGCGGCCAGCCCGGGTGAAGCCACCCCTGTCCAGGTCCTGGGTGCCTGTGGCTGGCCAGAGGAAGGGAAGCACAGGTTCTGGGTGCCTGTGACCAGCTGTAGGAGGGAATCCTGGGTCCTGAGTGCGGGGTGAGGAAGAGGCAGTTAGGGGCAATCAGGCCAGCAGGGGAGCAGTTAGGGGCGATCAGGCAGGCAGGCAGAGGTGGTTAGGGGTGATCAGGCAGGCAGAGGTGGTTGGGGCAATCAGACAGGCAGGCAAGTGGTTAGGAGCCAGCAGTCCTGGATTGCGAGAGGCAGTGGGACATCCCCCGAAGGGTCTCAGCTTGGAGAGGGTTCAGGCCAGGCTGAGGGACCACCCCACCCCCGTGTATGAATTTCGTGCACCGGGCCTCTAGTAAGAAACATAAAAGAGGAGTTACATAAAATACAATAATACTAGTCTTTATATTTACCTTGGAGTTACCTTTACCAATTATTTTATTTCTTACTAGTTTTCATCTAGTGCTCTTTTGTTTTAGTCTGAGGACTCCCTTTAGCATCTCTTGTAGGGCAGTAGTTCTGGTAGCAATGAATTTCATTAGTTTTTGTTTATCTGGGAATGTCTTAACTTCTCCTTAATTTTGAATAATAGTATTTCTGGGTATGCAATTATTGACTGCCAGGCTTTTTGTTTTCTGTTTTCCTGTTGGTATTTTAAATATGTCATCCTGGTTTCTGGTCTCCATGGTTTCAGATGATAAATCAGCTGTTAACCTTAGGATGTTCATTGTAATCCCCATGGTAACCACTAAAAAAACAACTAGGAAATGAAGAGGAAATAAAAATGGTATCCTAGGAAAAAAGCAGATACAAAGGAAGACAGTATTGTAAGGATTGAGAAACAAAACAGATATGACATGGAAAACAATACTATGGCAGAGTAAGTCCTTCGCTATCAGTAATCACTTCAAATGTAAATGGATTAAGTTCAGTAATTAAAATACAAGGATTGGTAATGATTGCACAACATTATTAATTTATTTAATGCCACTGAGTTATTTTTAAATGGCTAAAATGGTAAATTTTATGTATATTTTACTACACACACAAACAACGAGATTGGCAGAATGGATGTAACAATGATCCACTAGGACTTGAATAGACATTTATCCAAAGAAGATATGTAAATGGTCAATAGGCACATGAAAAGATGCTCAAGATGGCTAATCACTGGGGAAATGCAAATCAAAACCACAATGAGATTCCATTTCACACCCATTAGGAGGATGGCTATTATTTAAAATGAAACAAAGCAGAAAATAATAACCGTTGGTGAGAATGTAGTGAAACAAATTCTTTGTTTTATAAGAATATTTTCTACATTATTTATTAATTAACATATATTTTTTATTTCAGAGAGGAAGGCAGAGGTAGAGAGAGAGAAACATCAGTGATGAGAGAGAATTATTGATTGGCTGACTCCTACATACTCCACACTGGGGACTGAGCCCATAACCCAGCCATGTATCCTGACCGGGAATCAAACTCTGACCTCCTGGTTCATAGGTCAAAACTCAATCACTGAGCCACACTGGCTGGGTGCAACTGGTATTCTTGTGCATTGCTGGTGGAAATGTAAAATGGTGTAGCCATTATAGAAAACAGTATGATGGTTCCTCAAAGAATTAAGAACTACCATATGATCCGGCAATTTCACTTCTGGGTATATACTCAAAAGAATTGAAAGCAGATACATATTTGGATCTATATTTTTGTGCACTCATTTTCATAGTAGCATTATGCACAATAGTCAAATGGTGGAAGCAATTAAGTGCCCATCAACAGATAAATGGATAAACAAAATGTATGTACAATGGCATATTATTCCACCTTAAAAAGGATAGAGTTTTTGTTGTTGTTAATCTCACCTGAGGATATTTCTTCCATTGGTTTTTAGTAGAGTGGAAGTAAGAGGGAAGAGACACAGAGAGAGAAACATCAGTGTGTGAGAGACACATTGATTGGTTGCCTCCCACATGCACCCTGACCAGAGCTGGGCATTGAGCCTGCAACTGAGGTACATGACCTTGGCCAGAATTGAACCTGTGACCCTTCAGTCCTTGGGCCAACGCTCTAACCACTGAGTCAAAACAGCTAGGACAGGAATGAAGTTTTGACACATCTACAACATGGATGCATCTTGAAGACATTAAGCTAAGTGAAATAAATCAGGCACAAAAGGGCACTTCATAAAACTAAAGGGATCGATACAACAAGAGGATACAACTCTGGTAAACAGATATGCTCCCAATACAGGAACATCCAAATATATATAAAAAAAAAACCTCTAGAGGATTTTAAGTGAGATATTGACAGCAATACAATCATAGTAGGGGACTTTAACACCCCACTGACATCACTGGTTTTCTTTTTGATATATTTTTATTGATTTCAGAGAGGAAGGGAGAGGGAGAGAGAAAGAGAAACGTCAATGGTGAGAGAGAATCATCGATTGGCTGCCTCCTGGACACCCTCCACTGGGGATCCAGCCCGCAACCCCGGCATGTGCCTGGATTGGGAACCGAACCATGACCTCCTGGTTTGCAGGTCGACATTCAATCACTGAGCCACAGAAGTTGGACATCACTGGTTTTCTAGATAAAAAATCAACAAGGAAACAGTGATCCTAAACAACACACTAGATCAGATGGAATTAATTGACATTTTCAGAACATTTCACCCCAAAGCTGCAGAATATACATTACTTTCAAGTGCACATGGGACATTTTCAAAGATAGACCACATGTTAGGACACAAACTAAGTCTCTACAAGTTCAAGAAGATTGAAATCATATCAAGCATCTTCTCAGACCACAATGGAATGAAATTAGAAATCAACTATAGCCCTAACCGGTTTGGCTCAGTGGATAGAGCGTCGGCCTGTGGACTGAAAGGTCCCAGGTTCGATTCTGGTCAAGGGCATGTACCTTGGTTGTGGGCACATCCCCAATAGGATGTGTGCAGGAGGCAGCTGATCGATGTTTCTCTCTCATCGATGTTTCTAACTCTCTATCCCTCTCCCTTCCTCTCTGTAAAAAATCAATAAAATATATATTTAAAAAAGAAAAAAAGAAATCAACTATAATGAAAACACCCCAAAACATTCAAACACATTGAGGCTAAATAGCATGTTATTAAACAACAAATGGGTTATCAATGAAATAAAGAAATCAAAAACTTCCTGGAAACAAATGACAATGAACATACAACAATCCAAAATCTATGGTACACAAGTGAAAGCAGTTCTGAGAGGGAAGTTCATAGCATTACAGGCCTACCTCAAAAAAACAAGACAAACGCACAGCTGGCATGGCTCAGTGGTTGAGCATTGACCTGTGAACCAGGAGTTCACAGCTTGATTTCCAGTCAGGCCACATTCCTGGGTTGCAGGCTCAATCCCCAGCGTGGGACGTGCAGGAAGTAGCCATTCAATGATTCTCTCTCATCACTGACGTTTCTCTTTCTCTCTCTCCCTTCCTCTCTGAAATCAATAAAAATATATCTTAAAAAAATGAAAAATACTTATTAAAAAAAAGATAAGAGCAGAAATAAATGACATAGAGACTAGAAAAACAATACCAAAGATCTATAAAACCAAGAGCTGGTTCTTTGAAAAGATAAACAAGATTGTTGAACCTCTAGCCAGACTCATGAAGAAACAGAGAGAGGACTCAAATAAACAAAATCAGAAACGGAAGAGGTGAAGTAATAAGGGACCCCACAGAAATACAAAGGACCATAAAAAAATACTACAAATGACTATATTCCAACAAACTGGACAAAATGGACATATTCTTAGAAAAATACAATCCTCCAAAACTCAATCAGGAAGAATCAGAAAACCTGAATAGGCCGATAACTACTGATAAAATTGAAGCAGTAATAAAAAACAAACTGCCGAAGCCGGTTTGGCTCAGTGGATAGAGCGTCGGCTTGCGGACTGAGGGGTCCCAGGTTCGATTCCGGTCAAGGGCATGTACTTGGGTTGCGGGCATATCCCCAGTGGGAGATGTGCAGGAGGCAGCTGATCGATGTTTCTCTCTCATCGATGTTTCTAACTCTCTATCTCTCTCTCCCTTCCTCTCTGTAAAAAATCAATAAAATATATTTAAAAAAAAAAATAAAAAACAAACAAACAAACAAACAAAACTCACAGCAAACAAAAGCCCTGGTCCAGGGGAGTTTTACCAAACATGGCTTTACAGGGGAGTTTTACCAAACATTCAAAGAACTAACACCTATCCTCCTCAAACTATTCTAAAAAATTCAAGAGGAAAGAACACTTCCAAGCTATTTTTATGAGGCCAACATTACCCTAATTCCAAAACCAGATAAAGACACTACAAAGAAAGAGGATTACAGGCCAATTTCCCTGATGAACACAGATGCTAAAATCCTCAACAAAATTTTAGCAAATTGGATTCAGCAATATATTAATAAGGTCATACACCATGACCAACTGGGATTTATTCCAGGTATGCAAGGCTGGTATAATATTTGCAAATCAATAAATGTGATACATCACATAAACAAATTGAAAGACAAAAATCACAGGATCATATCAAGAGATGCAGAAAAAGCATTTGACAAAATCCATCACCCATTTTTGATAGAAACTCTCAGCAAAGTGGGAATAGAGGGAGCAAATCTCAACATATTAAAGGCCATGTATGACAAACCTACATCCAAAATCATACTCAATGGGCAAAAACTAAAAATATTTCCCCTAAGAACAGAAATAAGATAGGGATGTTCACTTTCACCACTCTTATTCAACACTAGAGGCCCGGTGCACAAAATTCGTGTACGGGTAGGGTCCCTAGGGCTGTCCTGCGATCAGGGCCAATCTGCAGGGCGACAGGGGCGCCCCCCGCTGGCACCCACCTTGGCTGGCCTGGGGCCTGCGGGCTGGGGGCAGCTACTGTGTTGAGCATCTGCCCGCTAGTGGTTAGTGCATGTCATAGAGACTGGTCGTTCTGCCATTTGGTCAATTTGCATATTAGGCTTTTAATATATAGGATAGTACTGGAAGTCCTAGCCTCAGCAATCAGACAAGAAGAAATAAAAGACATCCAAATTGGAAAGGAGGAAGTAAAA